TAACTGGGCTAGAGTTTCCAAAAGGCCTCTGGTGGCTCTCAAACAGCTCTCCTCATTTTAGCAGCCAACAATAAATCATCTACATTGAAGTAAGGTTACCTCAGGGTGATTACTACAGAAGAGACAAGTCTTGCTTGAGTGTTTCATCCAGGATGGTGGGAGAATTTTTGAACCCTTGAGGTAGTCTGGTCCAGGTTAGTTGTTCTGATATCGCAGTTCAGGGTCATCCCATTCAAATGAGAAGATGGACTGACTTAATTTTGACAGAGGGATGGAGAAGAATGCATCTTTTAAGCCCAGTTCAGTATAAACTTCATGCTCTGATTGTAATAAACTGAACAAACTGCAGTGATTTGAATAGTTGTGTAAATGGATTCTACCCTCCTGTTCACTTCCCTTTAGTCTTGTACTGCTCTATATAATCTCAAATTCCAAGCTTTTGGACAAGCATCAAGGAGGGTATTCCAGGCTGACTGACAAGAAATAAATATGGATGCTTGAGAGATGGCTCAGTGGTTGTTCTTCTAGAGGACCCGGGTTCAATTCCCAGCATCCACATGGCAGCTCACAACTGTCTGTAACTCTAGTTCCAGGGGATCTGATACATTCACACCAATGCAAATGAAATAAAGTTAAATCATTTTTTTAAAGGGAGTAAGTATGTTGACTTCAAGGAGGTGCCTGCTGTGAATCTTAATCCATTCCCTGGCCTCTGAACTGATCGGGCACTGCTTGACTTGAATGGGCACTGCCCCAGATGTTAGGTGCATTATGATGGTGGCACATGTTTTGCCAAGCCAAGAGGATTGTCCTCTGCCCAAACTTTTTGGAATTTCCTGGATCAGCAACTTTTTCCATTCCCCTTCCAGGAAATGGATGCGCTGGATTTTGGGGGAGCAGGTATTCCTCACTCATTGGGCAGGTCATAGTTAAAACCTGAGCAGGGCCTCCCAATTGCAACCTAGGAGAGTCTTCTGAGAATGACATAGTTGCCTGGAGCTTGTTCAAGAAGTCCTGCCCTAGTAAAGGTAGGGGCATTCAGAAGGAGTCACAACAGTTCCTTGTCTTAGGTTAACAGTCTAGGCAGTGGTCCATTTGTATTCTTTGACATCCACTGTTGGCCTCTGTACTTCCATTGTTTGGTTGGTAAGGGGTCCCAGGGGCTTCTGTAATACCAGATGAGTAGCCCCTGTGTCCACCATAAATATTACAGGTTGACCCCCTGTGGTGAAAGTTACCTTAGGCTCCTGGGGGCCTGGGTCAAAGGATGCCCAGTCTCACTAATCCTCCACAGCTAGGATTGGCTTGGGTTTGGGGAGGGCCTGCCTGTTTCCAGCATTGATTTTATTTTTCCAGTGACTCATTTCGTTGCCATAGACGCATTGGTCTTTTGTAAAGGTCTCCTCTTTTTTTATCATGGTGTAGATGGGAAGAGTTGAGAGTGACTGGGGTTTGTACTGCAGCTGTGTTGGTGTACCACATCTTTATCAGATCCTTGTCTCTTTAGTCAAACACTTTCTGACCTATCTCTAATTGTCCTGACTTGTTCTTTCCTGAAAACCTGTCCATCTTTTGTATCTTTTTACACATGCTAGGGACTTGACTGGCTCTGCCACTGTTTTTTTTTTCTTTGTTTGTTTTTTTGTTTTAAGGCACTTTATCAGAAGGCCAGGGAGAAAGGGGGGAGGGAATAAATAAGGGAAATTTTATTGATTTGGGAGCATTTTCAGGAATATTAGATTTAATACTGTGGCAAGAATCTCAGGAGTTAGTGCCAACTTTTCCACAGGATGGAAGGCAGAAAATACTGTGCACATTAACTGCAGTTGGAATGCTAGAACTGCCATGACAGCATAAAAAAGATATCCCTTGTCCTTTCCCCCTTCTCCCTCGTCCTCTATTTCCTGTCTTGTCTCTTATTCCCTGCCCTTGTCCCTTTAGGGCAAATAAATCTCCTTTGTACTGAGAGCTTGGTCTTGGGGTGTCTTGAGCTGATACTGGTCTCTTCATTAGTAAACTATATACATTTATGGGGTACAAAGGGATGCCATGATACTATGTACACAATTTGGAATCATTGAATCAGCCTAATACACATAACCATCATTGTATTTATTGTTCATTCCTCTTATCTAATTGAGTGTCTTTCTTCATTTCCTACCATTCCCAGCCTCTAGTAACCAACATTCATATCTTTCTCATTTCTGCTTTTATGGGTTCTATTGTTTTAGATTTCACATGTAAATAAGAACACTTTGTTTTTCTAGGTTTTTGGAATGGCTAATTTAATGTGTCAACTTTGTTTTTTGTTTTTGTTTTTAAAGAGACAGGGTTTCTCTGTGTGTAGCCCTGGCTGTCCTGGAACTCAACTCTGTAGGCCAGGCTGGCTTTGAACTGACAGAGAATAATCATCCTGAGTACTGGGATTAAAGATGTGCACCACCACCACCCAGCATGTCAACTTTGTTGAGCCATGATATCAGTGCTCATTTTAGATGTTTCTGTACAAGTGTGCTTGGAAGAGATTAGCTTTTTTTTTCTTTCTTTCTTTCTTTTTTGAGACTGGATCTCCACCTAGCTCTGACCATCCTGGAACTCACTATGTAGACCAGGCTGCGAACTCACTTAGATCTTCCTCCTGAGTGCTGGGATTAAAAGCATGTGCCACCATGCCCAGCAGAGGAGGTTAACATTTAAATTAGTGGACTTTAAAGTATGATCAGCCTTCATAATGTGAGTGGGTATCATCTAATCAATTGAAGACCGAATAGAATAAAAAGGCTGGTCTGCTCTGCTCTTGGAAAGGTGGGATTCTTCAGAAAACTGTCTTTGGACTTCATTGACAATAGCAGCTTGTTTGTTTGTTTCTAGGCAGACGACCTTTGCAGTCTAGCTGCAGCATAAGTTCTTCTAAGCCTGCAGCCTGAAGACTTTGGACTTGACAGCCAGCCTCCGTGAGAGAAATGAGGCTCATTGGCTGTGTAACAGACAGGATATAATAAACATCTTCGTTTAGAAACATCACATTGATTCTGTTCCTTTTGATCACCCTGGTTGTAAAACAGAAAGGTAACCAAATGGTCTACTTCATCCCTGCAGTCAAAGGAGATGAAGTATGTGTGATCAGGGGTTTGTTTTCAGTTTTACGACTCTAACAAAACATTTGAGTAATTAACTTGTTAAAAGGTTTATTTTAGTTCACATTTTTGAAGGTTTCTGTGACAATCTTCATTATTTTAAATCAGGTAGTATTAATAACATCCATCAAGTTTATACCATATTTTACTTTTCTTATCATTCTGGAAAAAATACCAATAGATTACAATAGCAAAACATTTATTCTTCCATGGAATGTATGTGTTAAAATTAAATATGTGGAAGTCAAATATAAAAATGTGGAACACACATTTAGAAGGCATAATTCAACACCATAACCACATTAGTAGTCATTAAATGTCATCACAGTTACAACAATGTGTCAGGCACTATCTTAACAGAGACCAAAGTTTTACCCAGAGGTACCCTTTTTAAAAGGTCTTTAAAAAACTCATCTTGTTTTATTTTTTTTAGCATGATTGTGTGCAGCAAGTGAAATAGAATGTGTAGTGATTGACTCAGATTGCCATAGCTTACGACCCAGGTCTCCTTACTTCAGTTACTAGTGTTATCAAGAAGTGTCAAGTCACACAGCACTTCATTCTGGTTAAAGAGAATGGTTTCCTATGGGTGAAGATTGATTGCCCAGGAATAGAGTGGTGGAAACATTTGAGGTTTGGAAAGATTCTGAAGCATAAATAGATATTCATCAGCTGTGGGATTCCTAAGAGTAGCTCTGGTTGGACATCTATTCTACTGTTGAGTGACTGATACAGGATTTTGCTCTGTGGTAGTGACCCTGCTGTCTCTGGATTACAGCCACATACCATCACACCTGGCCTTGCTACTCTACTGCTTTAAAATACAAAGGAGCTAGCTCTAAGTGATGTCCCCTAAATATGATGTTTCCTTTGTATTTCCAATCTAACTCTTTCCGGGCAGCTATGAGGAAAGCAATGAGTCAGCTTATCAAATGCGTCTTTAGTCCAGCTCATCCTTTTGGCTTGATCAGATATAAGGAATTATTCAAATACAGGGCATTCTGAAGTCTCAGAAGTTATGCTCTTCTTTGAACCAAGGGCAGTATAAAAACAGCCACATCATGATTTTAGAAATCTAGATCCAGTTTTCCAGTGATGTAAAGCTCAATAAAAAGGCATGTTAGCAATACACAAGCTGGGCAGTGGTGGCTCATGCCTGTAATCCCAGCACTTGGGAGGTAGAGGCAGCAAGTGGATCTCTGAGTTGGAGACCAGCCTGATACACAGTGAGTTCCAGGACAGGCAGGACTACAAAGAGAAACTCTGTCTCAACCCCCCCCAAAAAAAAAACCCAAAACAAAAAACAGTACAGGATTGTTTTTGGTTGCTTGGCATTTTTGGAACCCCAAACCCTCAGGTTTCCAGGCTCAGGGACTCTCTCTTCCTTGCTGCTATGATGATGAAGAGAACATAAAGCGCACATTGAAAAGCATTCTGACCACGTGAACATCTTGTTCAAGCTTACATACAGTGAACCATTACACCCTTCCATGTTCTGAAATTACTAGCACTGTGGATGGGCAGTGCCCATCAGATGCAAGTCTATTATACACTGGGTAGAATTTTGTTGACTTAAAAAATTCTAATGACTTACAGTATTTGGTAATTAGCTATACCATCTAATAGAATAAAACTTGAATAGGATTAAGTAAATTTAAATATAGTAATATTTGTATGTCTTCTTTTTTTTTTTTTTGGTTTTACGAGACAGGGTTTTGGAGGCTGTCGGTCCAGCCTGGCCTCGAACTCACAGAAATCCGCCTGCCTCTGCCTCCCGAGTGCTGGGATTAAAGGCGTGCGCCACCACCGCCCGGCCGTATGTCTTTTTTTTTAAACAGGGTCTCACCATGTAACTTTGGCTGTTCTGGAATTTGATCTGTAGATCAGACTGGCCTTAAATTCAGAGTGAGTTCCAGGACAGCCAGGACTGTTACCCAGAGAAATCCTGTCTCGAAAAACACTAAAGAAAAACAGAAATCCAGGCAAAATCTTTTTGCCTAGATCAAATATTGACTATTTTGGAATTATCACACCCTCCATGATGTATAAGAAATAGGTCAATTATATGTATGTATGCATACATAAGTACACACATACATATAACACACTATATATACATACATCTATATATATATATGTATATATATATATATATATATGGATAGATTTGGGGTTAAGGGTATACATGTTTGGCAGTCTTATTTTTGGGTTTTCATGACAGAGTTTCTCTGTGCAACAGCTCTGACTATCCAGGAATTCACTTTGTAGACTAGGCTTGACCTAGAACTCAGAGATCCACTTGCCTCTGCCTCCTGAGTGCTGGGATTAAAGGTATATGTCACCATGTCAGAATTATCACTCACTGTTGACACCTCCTCTACAAGGGTTAGGGAAATACCTCCTCTGTAAAGTAAAAGCAATTGATCAGCTTTATTTAACCTTTCACATACCTCAACCATGAACGCGTGCATACACACACACACACACACACACACACACACACACACACGTTTCTGCTCCTGCAAGGATCAGCTTTTGGGGGCCCATTCTCCCAGCTTCCTAATTCTTTTTTTCATTATTTATTATGGAGGGCACCAGATCTCATTACAGATGGTTGTGAGCCACCATGGGGTGCTGGGAATTGAACTCAGGACCTCTGTAAGAACAGCCACCGCTCTTAACCTCTGAGCCATCTCTCTAGCACCCAGCTTCCTAATTCTATTCTGAGTATAGAACACATCCTATCCTTCAGACCAGACTTTAGTCTTTATCCAGCATTACTATTATGAAAGGTGTCACTGAGAATAAAAAAATCACACTTTAAATTTCAATTGTTTAACTTGACAAGTAGACCACAGGTAAAACTGTTAGATATTCAGTATTTTAGGTCATGCCATTTTGGATGTGATGGAAGATTGAAATGTAAAATTTAGAAATGTAACAAGCAGTAAAAGTAGACGGCTTCATATGGGAAGGGGCAGTTTGAATGCATTCCCACAAAAGAGCCTGGGGATATAAAAATATCAACAATATAAATATTCAGAGCTTTTATAGTAGCATAATTTATATTCTCTTCATAAGCACTATTAAAAATGCACAAACCTAGAAAATATACAAGTGTTAATATTTTAAAATACAATCAAATACCTACTTCAGAGATTCACAAAAACATTATCAGATGTAACTTTTTGATTAGATTAATTTTCCAAGGGCTTTCTTCTCTATTGTTTATGCTTTAGAGGAACGGTGGTTCAAGGTAGAAGGACAGAAGGCAATGCCAACCAAGGACTCATCTGGGTCCATGAACATACATACCAACTTCTGTTACCTCCACACAGAAGTAGAAGGACAGAATACAAGAAAAGAAATTCTCACCAACTGTAAATATAATGTCCAGAAGCAGCTGCATCAGCAATACACTTGTATAGTGCTTTCTGTACTCCACTTGATTTTCAAAATAGTAATTCCATAAAATTCAATAAATGAGTCTAATAGGCTCAACTCGAGATCATAGGACATTCTTATGGTCAAATACTAACTAGTAGAGCAAAGGCAAGCTTAGAGCTATGTTCTCTGACTTCTTGCTTAATATTTTCTACACTATACCATTTTCAAACAAAGTTACTATAAGTTTAAGCATAAGAGTCTTACAATTTCAAAAAGGCAATTCCATTGGGTAATTAGATACCCTTCTGTGATTTATAGCATAGAACAGATATACATGTTATAAAATATTTAACACTGTGATCAAAATGTCCCTTCCATGCATGTTCAAGCAGTAAGTTAAAAATTAGACATGATCCCAGCACTCAGAAGCAGAAGCAGGCAAACCTTTGACTTCAAATCCAGCCTAGTCCACATATCAAGTTCGAGGCCAACAAGGGCAATCAGAGTGAAACCCTGTCTCACACTCTCTGCCAAAAAATGAAGTAACTGGGCATGGTGGCATATACCCAGCACTTGGGAGACGGAGACCAGTGGGTCTGAGCTATATAGCAAAACTGCAAAAAAGAAAGAAAAACTAGTTAAAAAAGAACTGAACTTATACATCATTTTATTCATTTAACTGAGTATTTTATCTTCTCTCCTGTTGATTAATGAGACTGTAAAATGAAATGTGAATGCTCAATCAAGTGGCTAACACCATTTTTCTTGTTCAGAACATCTTGTCCACTTTTCTTTTACTGGAAACAGGATAATTTTGGAAAAATTTTAAAATACTGCATGTATATTGATAATTTTTATAATAGTTTGAGGTAAACTGCACTTTTTTCTTTGAAAATGTCACTATTTTTTTTCTTGACTAAATTTGTGTTTGTTTTTCTTGGCTAAATTTGGACAGTGTACTATAATATCAAAGTACTTGCTCCTGAGTGATCCCTTTTGTGAATATTTGCTTAAAATATTTGCTTGAACATTTATATACCTTATCAAAGTTGAAGATTCCAGGGCCAATTAACCCAGGAACAAAAAACCTTACTATGTTCTAATAATAGCATATCTGTGCACTTTGAAATGAAAACTTTTATTTTATTCCTAGTTAGTACTTCTGAGACTTCTTATAAGTACTTTGCTGTCTCCCCTTCCAGTCTTGATGCTGGGGATTGAATCTAGGTTTTCAGAAACTAAGGAAACATTCTACCACTAAGCTATGGCCCCAGCCTGCAAGGTGTGTCTTATGCATTTTTCACATGATTTAGTGCATGTCCCTGCACTTTTTCATGTGTATTTGTGTGTGCACCTGTATGACAGCATGCATGTTGAGGTCAGGGAATGACTTCAAGGGAAGTAGGTTCTTTCCTTCTACCATGGGGTTCCAGAGATCAAACTCAAGTCTACAGATTTGGTGACAAGCTCCTTACCCACTGAGCCATCTTGTTGGTCCTTCAAGTGCACTTTATAATTCAATACTAATTAACTCAGGAGAACATAATCCTGATACATTTCTTTTCAACCAGACTACATGTATGAAAAAACATTTTCAACTGTCAAGAATAATACTGACATATCTGGACACTTAAGGTCAGCTGTACCCTAAGAAAGTAAGAGTGGATGTAATTTTGTAGAGTGGTTTCAGGAAAAAAGTTGTCTGCTTTACCTCCTAACTTAGCAGACTATGTTATCTGTTAGTGTTACTGGTGAGCACAGAGCCCTGTATCCAACAGCTTATGACAGTGATACCGTGGGTCTGGATGTTTCGTAGGTGTTCACTCCTTGTGCCGTTCTGCTGTAAATGTCGGCATTTATCCAGAAGCATCGTGGCCTGTCTGTGACAGTTCTTTGCCATGTTGAAGTCAGCAGAAGCACTCCTTCCTGGGCTTTACTGCTTCCTCAGAAGAATGCACAGTGTTTGGAACAAAACCACTTTTAACCCCTTCCCAGCCATCCTGAATACAAATCTCTCCCTTCTTAATAAGTTCATAGATGTCTCTTGTCAAGATTGTGAAGGACTCCTCAACGTTTGTAGCATCTTTTGCTGAGGTTTCTATGTACTTCATTCCACAGTCTGTTGACAGTTTCTCGGCTTCTTCCCTTGACACCTGGCGTTGTGAAGCTAAATCACATTTATGTCCCACCAGGAGAAATATAATATGAAAAGGCTGTACATGCATTTTTGCTTCTTCTAGCCAATCTTTCACATGTTCAAAAGACCGTCGGTTAGTAATGTCAAATACCAAAAATCCACCAACTGAGTTGCGATAATAGGATCGAGTTATTGATCTGAAAAATAAAAAAGATTGTGTAAGGACAATGCTCTTTTCTCCTCCTTTGAATATTGAAACACCAAAAGGAAATTTGAAGATAGCTTAATGTCACTTAAATAGAATTTATAAATCCGACATTGAAGTATCTTAGATGAACAAAAATATTCTGAGATTAACACATATGCCCATTTGGTATACAGATAGAATATTGAAGTTGTTTTTTTAGACACATAAGAACTTTTGTAGTATATCATCTTGCAGTATCTTATGAGGTTTTATTTTTTAAGTATTTGACAGAAGAGTTATTACAAAATTGGGTTAAAAACATAGATGAATAGAGAATAGGGATGTAACTCTGTAGTAGAGTGCCTAGCATGCAGGGAGCCCTGAGTTCCATCCCCAGCATCAAATATGGCATGTATGGTGACACACCTCTGTAGTCCCTTTGCACAGCGGGTGAATGTAAGAGAATGAGAAGTTCAAAGTTGAACTAAGAAGCTAACTCAGTTGGAAAAGCGTTTTCAATGAAGACACGAAGACCTGCGTTTGGTCCCTAGAACTCATAGAAAAAAGCCTGGTGTGGTGGCTCAAAATTGTAAGCCTAGCACTGGGGAGGCAGACCTCTGGGGCTTGCTGGCTGGACATCTAGTATATGTGAGTTCTAGGCCAGTGAGAGATTGGTTTAAAAGAAAACAAGATAGACAATAAAAGAGGAACACTATCTGAGACTGATTTCAGGCTTCCACACTCATCACACACACATGTGCTTGAGTACCTACACACACACACACACACACACACACACACACACACACACACACACAAGTCTTCTTTACCTACACAATGAGATTGAGACCAGCCTTGAGACAGCCAAAAACAACTCCAAACACAGACAAACAAATGGAGACGGTGTAAAGGGGGGGGTGTCATATAGCAATGCAGACTTAACGATCTTTCCTGTCCTGTAGTTCACCGGAGCTCTGTTCTAATAGCTAAGGAAAGAAAACTGTTGCATGTTCATTTTATCTTTTCCTACCTGGTTCTCATTTACCCTTTCTCCGTCTTTCACACTCCCATTTCTCCTTCAGTAGTTCAAGAGAGGTATTGTCTGAGAAGCCTTCCCCATTACTTACTCCTTTCTCAAATAATTCCATGGAATGGTTACCCCACTGCTATTACATTTGCATCAATTTTTGCAGTGTGCTGACTGGATGTAGCTCAATCCTGAAGGTCAAATATGTTTGATACATGTGTCTTATATCATATTGGCTTGTAGGTATCACAGAACATTTGCTATACAGGACTGACTAGTCAAAAGGGCAAAAGGAAGTGCTAAATGCCAAGGACCTCCCAAGTGTCAGAACCCAAGTTATCAATGCTCCACACTAAACTCATCTACTTGCCCAGGGCACAGAGACCTCTATGAAGGGACAGTAGAATGCCCTGGACCCTTGTACTCACTACACTATCCTCATTCCTAAAGCCACAGTAGTTCAGTGACCCAACATTGTGCCTGCCCTTGCTTCTAGGGCAGGTGTTTACAGTCATTGAATACTTGTCTAGCACTCATGAGGTTCCAGGTTCAATACTTAGTACTGCCAGGAAAAAAAATGACTTTGCTTTTTGAGTGTGAAGAAATATCTACCGCCCCCCTTTTATTCACTTGTCTTCCAGTTTTTCCTTAAAGTTCATAAAATATTCCCAGGTGGCTCTCCTACCTTCTCCTGTCCTTTCATCCATCTTTCTTATTTTGAGACATGGTTTTCTAAGCCCAGGCCAGCCTAGAACTGCTATGGGGCCCAGCTGTCTTCCCACATGTACCATCATGTGAGGTTCCACATGACAGTTTTTGAGGACTACACTACTGTACGATCATTGATGACGAGAAAAATTGTCTACCAATTTTGGCAGGATGTAAATAATCTAGTTCAATTAAGTTGCTGCTGTCTTGTTTTAGTCTGTGGGATAATTAATTTGTTATTGTTCTGCCACTCATCTATCTGTGTGTATATGAATTCTGGCAGGTGTACAGTATCATAAGATAAATCTAATTAAGACTATGTTGTTATGCGAAACTTCCAATCAGCACCAAATCTACCTTGCTCTCTATAACTTAACACCAGTGTAATTTTATTACATTTATTTACTTACCTTATTGTGTATGTATGTGTATGTTGTATATGTATTTGAGTATGTGCATACCATGGCACACATGTGGAGACCAGAGGACAACTTTCAAGGGTGGTTTTCTTCTTCCACCATCTGGGTTTTAGGGTCTGTGGTTGCTTGAAAGAAAATGGCCCCCAAAGAGAGTAGTGCTATGAGGAGTTGTGGCTTTGTTAGAATAGATGTGGCTTTGTTAGTATGGTATGTTTGTAGATATGTTCTTGATGGAGGAAGTGTGTCACTGTGGAGGCCAGCTTTGAGGGATCGTATATACTCAAGCCATGCTCAATGACACAGTCCATGTCCTGTTGCCTTCTGATCAAGATGTAGCTAGCACCAAGTCTGCCTGCACATTCCCATGCTCCCGGCCATGATGATAATGGACTGTACTTCTCAACTATAAGCCAACACTTCAGTTAAATATTTTCCCTTATAAGAGTTGCCATGAGTTGGTGACTCAGGCCTTTAATCCCAGCACTTGGGAGGCAGAGGCAGGTGGATCTCTGTGAGTCTGAGGACAGGCTGGTCTACAGAGCGAGTTCCAGGACAGCCTCTAAAACAATAGAGAAACCCTGTCTCAAAAAACAAAAACAAAACAAAAAAAAGAGTTGCCACGGTCATGGTGTCCCTTCACAGCAATAGAAACCATAACTAAGGCTGGGTGGTGGCGGTAGTGCACACCTTTAATCCCAGCATTTGGGAGGCAGAGGCAGGGGGATATCTGCGAGTTTGAGACTAGCCTGGTCTACAAGAGCTTGTTCCAGGACAGCCTCCAAAACCACAGAAAAAAACCCTGTTTTGAGAAACCCTCAAAAAACAAAAACAAATCAAAAAACAAACAAATAAAATTAAAAAAATAAAAAGAAAAATTTTAAAAAAAGAAAGAAATCCTAAGACAAAATTAAACTCAGGTCCCCAGGCTTGGTAGCATTTGCATTTACCTGCTGAGCCAACTCACCGGTTTCACCAGTTTAATTTTTTTTTGAAACAGGGTTTCTCTGTATTTTGGACGCTGTCCTAGAACTGGCTTGGTAGACCAGGCTGGCCTTGAACTCACAGAGATCCACTTGCCTCTGCCTCCTGAGCACTGGGATTAAAGGTGTACGCCACCAACACCCAGCTCACCAGATTAATTTTTAAAAGCAAACCTTTTGTGCTTGAAAACTCCGTGTTGAGAAGATTATTTACTGCAAGCTTTTAAAGATTTTCCTGGGACATGTGAACTTGGGAGAGAGCTCAGTAGTTACAAGTATGTGCCGATCCCTGAGGACCTGAGTTTGGTTTCCAGTACCCACGTTAGCTCACAACTGCCTGTAACTTCAGCTCCGGGAGATCAGATGTCTCTGCACTTTGAGGGCACCTACATTCAAATGTATATACTTACATGGAGATACAAGTATGCATAATTTAAAATAATAGAGCCTGAACAAGGACGACACCGACAGACATGCTATTGTGGAAGGGGACAGCTAAAGTTTAACCCTAGATGAAGAATGCTGGGTGGAAGAAGTTGCTTTCCCTGGAAAAACCATTCCAAGTTGTCAGCCCTGCAAACAAACAGCTTGTATTTATTTATTTAGGGACACACACACACCCCAACATCAACAGTTAAAGAAAAAAGACTCTGGGTTTGAAAGAGTAAGGTCAGGAGATACATAGGCGGTCTTAGAGAGAGGAAAGGGAAATGATGTAATTGCATTAATGGATCTTTCAAAAGTCACTGGGATGTAATACAAATTAACTGAGCTGAGCAGTGGTAGTGCACGCTTTTAATCTCAGTACTCTGGAGGCAGAGGCAGGTGGATCTCTGTGAGTTTGAGACCAGTCTGGTCTACAGAGTGAGTTCCAAGACAGCTAGGGCTACACAGAGAAACCCTGTCTGAAAACAAACAAACAAACAAACAAACAAGCAAATTAACTGCATGACCTCATTACATCACCAAGATATTTAGAGTTATGCTATTTCAAATTAATTTTGAAATAATTACAAATTAAAAAATGAGTTACCACCCAAAAAATGAAAATTCAGTGTTGAAATATTTGCATATATATGCATATATGTATACATACACATACACACACATATATTTATATATCTATATCAGATCTAATGGTACCAGCCTCAAGTGTAAACCGAGACTGAGATGTTCAATTAAGCCCAGGGAGGACTCCAATGGATAATGATAGGAGTGGCATTCTGGAATAGAGGCATGCTCTTCATCAAAGGCTATTACTCTTTTGAAAAATAGTTCTTGGCTCCTAACCTGGCTTTGAAAGAAACTAAATGCCCATTTGTAGAACACCAAACGACTATGGGTATTCTTTGATGCACCAGCCTTGAGCTCTGTCATCACCCATCCACCCCATCTCACCCCCCCACACACACACCGAGAGCGGGGGGAGGTCAAGTTAGCACCAGTCTGCCCTACTCTTTGGAGCACTTAAAGCTAAGTAGAAAAGGGAAACTCTTCTATTTTGAAAGCTTCTAGTGCTACAACTCATTGCCCACTGTTTCTAGAGGCTAGATGTGGCTCAATATCCACAACAATTCATTAGCACAGGCTAAGGGTTTGTCGTGTTGAAAAAAAAAACAATAATCACCATCTACTTATAAAGAGGTTCAAGGGGCATGTTGATGAACATGTAATAAATAGTAATGAACTTTTGTAGCTTATATGAAAGCCTATGAAAAGGCTCCTCCATACAGGAATTCTTGATAATTTGCAAAACAGAATATCCTGTCCTGCCCTTATCAGTAAAGATTTCCACTCTAGTTTGAATTCAAAGTGGCCAGGGGAGTGAGCTGTGCCAGGGCTCAAGGGTCTTCCTTTTACCCAGGTTGGCTTAGAC